TACCCTCCTGAATATATAACTAATAGTATGGAATCGCTTTTCCCTCTTGAAGCAGAAAAAAGCAGCTGCTGAAGCTGCACCAGTGAAGGGCTCCAAAACGAACCATTGCAAGCTCATGAACAGCTCAAGGGAGGTATTAATAACGATCCTGCCCCCCTCAGTATTATTGCTGGCGGCTCTATCTTTTTCGGCAGTCAGTACTTTTCTCCCAACAAACTTTACAAACTGCAGTGTTTCCGAATTGAAACAAATGAAGCTGAAAAACACCGAAGCATCTTCTGCTCTAAAGCAGCTATCTTCCAAAGACATTAAATAAAACAGTACAGACTTCTATGAGGAAGCCTACCTTATTGACCCGTATGTCAGATATTTAACCACGGCCAATTAACAGGACAGGAAGATTTTTTTATTCTTTTCAAAGGCTGTTTTTCTTAGGAAAAGAAAATGCAGGGGAAAAAAGCATTTTGCATAATTAACTCTTCACATGATACTGGAACTGAGCAACTATTCTTTTAATTGCACTTGGAATCCAGGCAGTTGGAGGCCATCACTTTACAACCCATTTATTAACCTGCTCTTCTACTTGTGCTCTTTTACTTGTTTCTGAGGTTCCGGGAGATGGTGAAAGTGCATTTCTACTAGTCAAATTTCTTCCTAGGAACTGACCTGAGAAAGAAATCCCATCTAAAAGTATTTGACATTCAAGAGCTCCATTTATTTTCTCAGGACTTTAACACTTACTTAATTAAAAAAAAAAAAAAAAAAGAACATGATTATTTATTTTAAAAGAAGGCAAAAAGAAATATCATCAATGAACACTAGCTATGCCAATTATATTTTAACATCGCTCGGAAACAGGATCCAGGACATGAAAAAAAAGAAGCCAACTTAATCCCATGTGCTTTTTGGAGACATATAGATGAAAGATATTTTTCAGTATCGTGGTTTTGCTCTTCAACTACTTAGATAACATGGTGAATGCAAAAAGATATAAATGTGAGCCTGCTAAAACATGGTACTGTACCTCACAGGCAGCTAACCACACAAAGCAAAGGTCGTAAGGAATAATCAGACCTCCTGTTATCAACAAAGCTACGTTTGATTTGGAAAATTGTCAAGACTGGCTTTAGCTCAGGCAAATGGAGCATCCACCTCTTTCCGTCCAGCAGAGAAGGAAAAAACCAAAGTTACTACAGAGCTGAACAACATAAATGCATACCTAAAATGGGCGTAACTGATGCTATGCTATGAAACTAAAATAGTCAGAGCATATTTATATGCTTTTAAATATAGTTAGCAGTATTTCTCATTCCCTCCACGCGGAACATCTAGCTACAAAATTCACCCCCTCCGTCCCCCCCGGTCTCTCCATAGCTGAAGAGATTAGAAAGTGCAGTCAAAGCAGGGGGCAGGGGAAGGAGAATGGCAAGAATCTTTCTCCCTCCTCCCCAAACTCCACTAGGCAGTGTTTAATAAATTCAGATGGCCCAAGTTCAGAAGCAAACAGCAACGTCAGTGTAGCTAAACTTGTTAATGAGTCTCAGGACACTCAGTGGGCTTTTTTTTCTTTCTTTTTGGAGAATGGGGAAAAGGAATAAATCCTGGAATTATAACAAACTGATAGTATTTCTGCAGCAAATTCAGAAACGCTACAGTACTCCTGATTTTAATACATCCATAAAATCTAGGTACTTTCTGTCGTTCTTCAAAAGCCAGGCTGTACTGGCAGAAGCTTTGGACTCACTCCCTCAAGTAATTCCTTGCGTGCAAGTAACTACTCGTCAGCCCGATGAAACTATTCATGAATACAGAAATTTACAGGACTGAGCCCTTGCCATGACTTTTGGGGAGTCACAAGTTGAGGCTAGTTTTGTCTTTTACATAACTATGTGTATGTCCATACCGAATACCATGATGCAGCAATAACAGATATTACCAAAAGCCTAGAGTGTATGTTGAGAGCAATCGAGCTAAAATTGCAAGGGATTCCACAGAAGCAATTCACTTTGCTAAAAAGTAAAGCTTCCCGGTACTGTGGCTAGCCCACTGAGTGTCTGAATTAGTTCTGCACTGCACCCTTAAGTGCAGATATAATCTAAGAAGTGATTCTAAAACAGCATGTTTCTGGATGAGACATGTACTAAGTGTAAAATATTTCACCCAGTGATGTTTGGGACATCTCTGACACATTTAATCAGAAGCATAAACAATCTAAACACTGAAATACAAACTTATTTTTCCTTAAAATCAGTGTTCCATATTTTTTTATTTTAAAAATTCAGGAATGTGATACACAATACAATTAGCTCCCCACCACTGCAGTGTTCACTTACATGAGATTCACTAGTTTCATGCTTTGTGGAAAAAAAAAAAAAAAGAGACTGCGCAGTGTTTTCAAATGCTCCCCGTATTCTGGAACTGTGATCTTCAGAACAAATCAAGTCTGTAGAACCACAGACAGATCAGGTTAAGAAAAATCAAGGTATATCGCAAGCTAGCAGGCTACAGTCGGGTCTCATACAGCCAGAACAAACACAAAAATTGCATTCCTTTCCTGCTGCTGTACAGCCACCACCTTGACCTGACTGCATGCTTTCAGGGAATTTACCATCGAGGGCTAAAGAGACTAAAGGGCCCCATGAATACCAGCTGGTGCTGCACATGCGACACGGCACATGACAGAGAGGCCACGCAACTCCCCCTTCTGCCCCCATCATCATCATCATCGTCACGTCTGCATCCTGTCCTGACAATAAAAATAACGTGGGGGAGAGCTTTTTGTCTTTTAAGCTAGCCATTGCCTGCAATGGACACAGAAATAGAAAAATATGACTTCTGGCACAAAAAAAAAAAAAAAGATTAAATAGTTACCATGGAATTAGTGACTACAACTCCATCTATTCAGATGCATTGACTGAGACTGTTAACCAACGGTGGTAACTGTCAAAACTTAACAGTTGCTCTCTTTTTAGAAGAGCAACAGCAGAGAAGTAAGTCAGGCTTCTCAGTGCTACTATGGTTTGTCTTGTTTTGTTGTGTTTTTTTTTTAAATAATCTAAAGAACAGTAGTTCTATGGCGCATTAGTGATATACAGATATACAGCAGGACCTCAATAATTCATACTAATGACTGAGACCAATTTTAAACTAGCAAGTAAAATAATTAGTGAAAGTTCACCATAAAAAGCAAGGATACACATTTCCAAAAAAAATAGTACTTTGTTCATTTCAAAATTTACTTGGTTAATACTTTGTAGTATACTAGCAGTGGTAGCATATTTTGCAAATGTAGTCTCATACAAGATCTCATTTAACAGTCAACTCTAGATCATATACAGGTAACAGGAGAAAGAGTTAAGATAATTCAGACAAAACAAAACCATACATAAATACTATATTAACATATTTAAGTTAGTTAATGAGACTATACAACAAGCATAAACACAGAAAAAGGTGAGCGATGCTGATGGCTGTGAAGCACCAACATCCCCAAGCGAGCGCAAAGCTGAACCGACCCATCCACACACCGCAGCCTTCTGTGGATGCATCTGAGCAGCCAAGAAGCAAAATAACTGCACGGTGCTGTGCTGCACCCAAGCTAACAAAACCTGTGAGAGCGGGCTTGTGCGAAACTGGACTGAGCTCCTTTACTTTTCCAATGCTTTGGCACACAGCATTTCGCCAACGCAGTGGCATACAATTCAGAGCTAGCCTGGCCCTGTAGACTGCACAGTTAATACACAACACTGGTAATCCACCCATGGATAATCGAGAGTTGACTGCAATGCCCTGCTGAGAAGCGGGGTAAGACCACTGACACGACCTGGGCCAAGCCAGGTCCGACGAGCAGCAGACTATTTTGAACTACTTAGAAGCAATTATCATACGAGACACATTAGAAATGCAAACTAGCGAGGTGTTCTGTATCCGGAGGCAAAGCTACATTCCCTTCACTAACAAAACATTCTTTTTAAAAAAAAATCTACATTTAAATACTGTTAAAAACCTGAAAACCACAGCATCAAAGAATTTCATAAGGCCAAAACTACCCTCAGTTCCCTCTGTTGTGCCTAGGTATCACAATACATTTGTAGACGGAGTAAATACCGTGTAATTTGTTATCTTATACTCCTTCCAGTGCCCTCCAGTAACAGATCTCGGAGCTCTTCACACAAGAGTTAAGCCTCACAACACCCCTGTGAGGTAGGTATTATCCCCATTTTAAGACAGGGAAACTGAGGCAGAGTGTTTACCGTGTCCAGAGTCATAGAGCAAACAATGGAAGATCTGAGTTGTTTTCCAGTTTTGAGCATAGGAGCAGTCAATTAAATCACAAGACATTATTTCCCATACATAACTTGAGGGTGGATCGAAAGGGTCAGGGTTTTAGACTAGATTTCTTGTATGTTTTATCTTCAACTCTCATCTAGTCTCTGTCAAATTCAGAGTCCATAGACCAGTTTCTCCTTTGTTAAGGTGTAAGGTGACAGCATACTGTAACAGCTTCTTTGGAGCCAGTTGTCAACTGAGTTAACATTTTAAACCATAGATTCGGATACTTAGTAAGTGAAATTATGTGACAAATAAACATCTCCAAGTGTGAAATACAGTGAATGAAATCCTACTCCCTGCCCCACTTCCTCAGAAGTCAGGGAAAGGCTCCTGAGGACACTGCGGGGACCAGGATGGCAGTCACTGCAAGTGCTTACAGACACACTCAACTACAAGCAAAATGTACCACTGAATTACTTGCTATGGAGGCTACTGTCTATGCTTAAAAGCATGAATTATACTGTCTGCGCTCGGCAGACTTTCCCCAACAGAGCACTTATGGACATTAGCTAATTCTTCTATCTTAGTAAACTGAGACTCAGTTAAAAACGAAGCTCCAGCTCTTCATTCATAGCACTATGAGTCAAGGATTCTTTAAGCTTTGAAGACTTTTATGACCAGACACAACTTGGAAATAAGCAAAACCACCAGAAAATCCATAAAATACGAAAGTATGTGTTACTTTATCGGTCAGTCTCATGTTCTGATCACAGAGCAGTATACAGTAGCTTGAACTTCCATTCTGATAGAAAAAAACCCTTTTACATCTGATATTTTCACAAGCAGTTGATTTTAATTGCCTAGCTACCTTACCAGAAAAAGTGGGGACAGTTGCTAACAATCACATGATGTTCTCTTTAAAATATGCTATACGATAAATTCTTTAGAAAAGCCTTCACATTTATTATTATATAGGTTTAAGAAAAATACGTGAAACTGCAAAGTGGTTTCCAGTTTTAAGTAGTTATATCTTTAAAAATGTTCTATGAACTTTGGTTTCCTTAGGGCTTCTAAATAAACAATATATTAAAAATATCTACAAATCAAATATTAAAGGAAAGAGTAGGTCCAAGAAATCTGTAACACAAATTGAGTTCCTACATGCTTATCCCTCAAATACCTTTTCACTGGAAAAAATATTTTAATTTGAAGCACAGCAAAAAATGTCTCTGCTGAAATGCTGAAACTGGTTTTCTGAAGTTGTTACAGGATTGGTGCACTTTCTCTCTGTCTCAGTACAAAGTCAACACAAACACATTGTATCATGACAGTGACATTATGTTCTTTAAAACAAGCATTCTAGATTTAGCAATATGACAAGAACAAGGACTTCAGCAATTACACTACTTGGCAAAATTGCATCTCAAATGTCTGTCTCTTCCTCTTGCAATATAGCTGTTGTCAAAGTCACCAAAACTCAGGTAGCACCATTCAGGGAGTTACAAAGATGATTCAAACTGCTCGTTTTGCTCGGTGTTTGCCTCTAGCTTAACTGAAGGGATGCTCTCCGACTTAGTCCTCCTAGTTTTTGGAAATTCAATGACAACTTCTGAACAAGAAATACTAAGTGAGGAAGATTTTTCTGTCTTCTTTGCAGTACTATCTTCTCCTGTTCCGCAACACTGCTTCAAAGCACACTGAGTCCTGCAAGGAAACTCACATTTCCCTCTCCCCGATTCAGAGCCAACGCTGGCAAACTCAGGCTGAATGGTAGTTGCATGAATCCCTTCGTCATGAAAGATCTCTTTTATGCGCTTTGCCACCATCATGTATGTGGAAGGGTCAGGACACTTTATGTGAGCAGTGCCAATGATCCTACTGCCTGCTAGCTGCCAAATGTGTAACTCATGGACAGCTTCAACTCCTTCAAGGGTACGTAATTTTGAGTTCAAAGAATGAACATCTATTTGTTTGGGAACAGTCTGCAGAAGTATAAGGGCCGACTCCCTAAGTAATGGGTAAGTTGTGTAAAGGAGTATACAAACCATGATCAAACAAAGGACGGGATCTAAATATAGCAACCAGCATGGACCAGCCACCGTAATGCTCTCTTGCTCAGACTTGTTTGCTCTGCCAAGTGTTTGGGATAAAGTAGCATTTTCCATGCAGTGATTACTGACACATGGATTAAAGCAGGGCCCATCTTTGGGGCACGGGTTCCACAACCCATAAAAGAGCAAGGCATTCACTACCACAATTACTGAACCTAAGGCATCTCCAAAAACGTGCAGAAAAACTCCACGCATGTTAAGCTGCGCACTAGAGTCTTCTTCGACCTCTTCTACATCCAGAGGATAATGACCAGCGTTCCCATTCACTTGTAGGTCAGTCATGTCATCTTTCATATCACCTGTCAAGAAAACAGTAAAATGATTAGGCATATGCTATAATACTACACATTACTATAATTCCATATAAAATAATAACCAACATTAAGCTTGCCACATTGAGTACGAAACTGAAAAGCAAGCGACTCCACCCATAACACTTAGCAACATTTTCTCTGGCTGAGAAATATTCAGTTGTCCCAATAAGTGATCTGAATAATCCAGAAGGCAATTGTTTCTACATAGACCTTAAAGAGGTAGAGTGGAAAAGTATGAAGATGACCACATTTTAATTTATTCAACTGAAAAACTGTTTCCACGTTTTTCAGCTCTTTAACCATGACAACTCACTGTTCATTTCTTAAACAAAATGCAGAATTACAGAGCATATATAAAAACGCTGGTTCAGTAGCTAGGTAACTTAGATTTGTTCCCTCTTTTGAAAAGCCAGAAGGCTAATCACATTGCTAAAATCTCTCTTAAAGCATAGGACCACATTGCTACATTAAAATTTATGAGGCCAGAAGCTCAAAAGCTGCATGGATACTGCTTTATAGTAACTTCTTCTCGGGTTTAGTTGTTCATTTCCAAAAGACTTCTGAATTCAAGGAAAAGGAAGTTTTTCTGAGATGGCGCATGGAGCCAGCAGAACTGTGAGATACAATGAGCTGAGCTTTTAGGTGTAAAATGCAGAATTTATCAGCAGTATTGACTACAGGACAGTGTAAGTTATCACTGAAGCTCTCAGAGGCTATGAACTGGTGTTATTTATATTTCAGAATACATAAAAAAATGTATTTTTAGTACTTTTTTTTTTTTTAAGTGACATACAGCTGTTGAGTGACATATAGCTGTTGATGCCCAAAGCTATATGTCACGGACCGTGCAATGCATAAATTAACATTTTAGTGCACTCCTTTGTCAACACTGTCTGCAATGTTACCACTCCATCACACCTAACTAGCTATATAGGAGTAAATGCACACATCATTACAAAGAAGAATGTTTTTTGAAAGAAAAACATCTTCCAATGTTCAAAATTGAAAGTATTTTACATGATTAACCTCCTACTTTTCTTCAAGAGTTCTTCTTTAGACAGAAAACTTCCAGTGTTAAAGAAATTTAACGGGCACTAGCCACTGGCCCAATAAACTGAAACAAGAAGCTCTTACTGCTTCCGTGGTTATTGAGTTCAAAGCTTTGTAAACATTAACATGTTAGTATGACCCGCACCTTCTGCCACTCTACCCTCATGACTTCGATTCTGTAATCATCAAGTGTCTACATGTTCTTTCCTCTCTGAAGAAGGGGTGGGCTCCTAGGAAGGTGGCTGAGTGGGTCAGTTGCAAACCCCAGGCTCATAACCTCGTGCATCACACTTCTGTCCTAAAGCTCCACATTTTCCACACAACTTCTAGGAGTTATGGAATATGGGAGCTGTAACTTTCCAGAGAAATCAAAAGATTAGAGGAAAATACCTCGGGTTACAGAGTTCAGACCTCAGGATCCATGATGAGAGCAAAGAAAGAGGAACGCTCTGCTGCGTACCAAGTACTTGGAGCAAAGGAGATTTGAAAAGTCAGTAGACCTATCTATACGGATGGACAACAGGAAACACGGTGCCAGAAAGCTCTTGAGATTTTTTTGATGGCAAATGGTTAAAACATGTCCATTTGAAATATGCTCATTTAAATCTAGCTATAAACTGATTACTTCACATAAAGCATATGCACAATGATACCTGTGCAGGACTAGCCCCTAAGGCTATCACTAGCTTTCCACTTCCACCTTAGGAAACCAGGGTCTACCCCTCTTGGTAATTTCCAATGAAGGCACAGTACCACTCTCGGTCATCTCTCTAGTCTTCACCTACACATCTTACAGCTTCTCACAAGTCTCTGAGCACCTTTACCTGTAACATTTCCATGGGTAAACGATGAATAACTCCATCCATTACATAATCATGACAGGGCATAGAAGGAAACACAAACTTATTTCAAAGTTTCACTGTGACCAAAATTATGCCCCATTACCACCTAAATACCCACAACAAATTATTTGTTATTGCCAGAAGGACACCCATGAGAAATTCCAGACAAGGTAGCTCAAAACAGTATACACTTTAATCCATGCTATAAATTAATCTTTTAGTCTAGAACTAGTCCAAAACTTGGCTAAAAGCACAACTTAAGTTTCACCATGCAATAACAATTCACAAGCCAAGATATCTATTAGATTAACAGTTAAGGGAATTTTACATTGTTTGAAACTAATTATTAGGATACCTTTGTTGGAACTAAACCAACATTAAGAGCTTATTATGTGGTCAAGAAAACGGTGTAATATATTCACAGGAACTTTCCTACCCTCTTGCAAAACCTGTCTTTTCAAAACCAACATGGAGTCAAAGCACTATAGAAAAAGAGAGAGAGAGAGCGCTTAAGTTTCTCAAATGCATATTGAAACATCTGACCACAGAAAAAACGAAACTGTAGCAAAGTTCACTCTGCTCAATTAAAGGTCCGTTTAAGCTAAAACAGCAATCTCCTGATGTCACTCTGAAAATAGGAGGTGACACGGGTGAAAAAAGGAGAGACATGGGTTCTGAAGAATGAAACCCCTTCCTCCTGGTAACAGGGATGCCATATGATTAAAGTAGAGAAGTGGCAATTATGCACCTTTCACTCTGCTAGCACGAAGTACTTGGCTTCGACCAAGTGACTTCAAAATAAACTACCCAGGTTTCTGGATCCATTAAAAAAAACCCAAGAAATTCCCTCCCACAAAACAGACGCTTTGATCACAATTGGGAAGGGAAGATTTTAATTTTATCTCTATGTGCAAGTGAGTGCGAAGGTGCATGCTTTAGAAAGGTAAAGAAAACTAATTCAAAGAAACCACACGTGTACTCTGAAACCAGGGAGCTCCACATTCAGTGTCTATTGCATGACTTCCACAGTTCTGATTGGTAACTTCCACGATTTCTTCCTATTAATACGTATGTCATGGAGGAGTACAACATTATTGCAACGGAATATACTTTAGCATGTTACGTTCAGATTGAGATTAGCTTCTCGCGTAGTTGATAACCGACCCAATGGAGAGATCCAGCTGTCAGGACCAAGGTGTTGAGCTGCGCTCTATGTGATGTGCAGCCAGTTCAGATGGCATTAGGGCCACGTCTTGTGACAGCTTGTGTCGCTAGGCAAAAAACACTTGTCATGTGCTTTCTCTACCAGCACCAACTTTTTCCAAGGCAAACTGCTTTACCCTAAGACTCTTTCATGCTCTGACCTGTCTGCAAGACAAATGCACAACTCGGGGCGCTCCTTTTAGCACTTGAAGGAAAGGTGTGAGGTAGAGGTGCAACAGCCGTGTGCCCGAGAGCACCGCTAAGAACATTTCTTGCCTCTTCCCCGGGAGGAAGGACGGGTGGTCCCCACGAAGCCCGCACCAGGCAGGACCAGGATGCCCACCGTCCCACTCAGGGAAGGGACCTCTCCGGCTTTCCTGGCACGGGACAGAGGCGCTGCAGGGCTTACCTAGCTTCTCCTGGCTGACTCCGTTGGAGCTGCTGCAGTTCTCCACCAAGGTGCTGGTCTCCTCCCGGTGCAGCGCAGCCTCCCCGTCCCCCGGTGGCTGCTCGGTCTTGGGGCCGCTGCGGGGGTGCTGCCTGCCGCTGTGCGAGTGCCCGTGGCCATGGGAATGGCCGTGGCCCCCGACACCGTGGTGGTTGAAGAGGCAGAGCCCCAGCAGGTTGATGATGAGTCCCGCCACCCCCACGCCGATGACCACCAGCGGCTGCTGGATCTCGTGGGGTTCGGTGAAGCGCTCGATGGCCTCCAGCAGGATGGTGAAGCAGAGGGCGGTGAGGAAGACGGCATTGACGAGGGCGCCCATCACCTCGGCCCGCACCCACCCGAAGGTGTTCTTCTTGGTGGCCCGGGTGCGCTGGGCGAAGCGCACGGCCACCAGCGCCACGACCAGGGCCATGACATCGGAGAGCATGTGGAAGGAGTCGGAGAGCATGGCCAGCGACGACGTGACCCGGCTCACCACCACCTCCACCACGAAGAAGAGGAAGGTGAGCGCCAGCATGCACAGCAG